AACAATAGATAGTACGAGACGAGTTGTGCGAGGTATCGGCTGAGATTTGTGGAGTACAATTCAAAAAAGCAACCATACTGGTCTAATAATGAATTATTGTGATGTTAAATAGACAATGGTAGCTATCAAGGAGCGACGTTGTTTTTTATTGGGACCTTCGTCCCTTCAAGGCTAGGCCTATACCATCCTAGCTAGTCTAGGCCTAGAGTAGGATAAGGCTAGCCCGACATGCGGACGTTGGTATGTGTAGGTTAGTCTACAAACGTCGCCTAAAGTAATTGATTTTACCCGGCAGAACGAAAGAAGGAAACTCCGCTTTTCAGTCGTCTTAGACCCTTGTTTTTTGACAAACAATTACCTTTCAGAGGTCAAATTGCTGTCAAGAATATGAATTGGCTGCTTCGCAGCAACAACGGTTCAGGTAGAACTTGGCTCTGTTTTCTGTTGGGCTTGAGTAACACATTTTTTCTTGGACCTCAAGTGTTCAATAACAAATTTACAATTTATCAAGTACACATAGATAATTTATTTTCTACAAAAAAAAATTAGTACTAACTATTGTTAAATTATTTTTATTTATATTTTAAATAATTGTTAATTATAATTCTTATTAAAATTACAACATTTCTACTTTTTACGTGGTATTCACACCGTTCTATTTTACAGTTTACGCTTCTAATCAGAAATCATATCAATTGCATGTAAACTATTAAACAGCCTCAGTATAACAAATTAAATTAACCAGAAATAATTAACAGTTCACCAATAAATTGTTCAAAATATGTTAATGTAACTTGATATTTGAATGTCGATGAAAGGCTGTATGAACATAGTATATTATAGAGCATGGTGCTGCAGCACAAGAGATTTGGTGTACAGAATGAATTATTTACAAGGCTGCTGTTTCAACTACATAACTCATAAATGTCAGCACCTTAAAAAGAACTCTTGTGAAGAGCAAGCACAAATCATGTCGATATGAAGCCATATCAATGTAGGACTGATTATTATGGATAATGGAGGATAGGCAAATACTTGGTATCTGGCATGTAAAAATTTTAAATTTCATTGCAAAATACATCATAAAGGGACCCCACCACCCATTGTTTTCAAAACCTAGATTTCTATGCATAATTTCAGTATGTACAGTATACAATATTGAAATATTATATACCCCATACATAGATTCTAGGCATAGAAGCGGGCAATAGAAAGTACTATTCCCCTCAAAAAGTACTCAGTATTACCCTGAAAAATAGTACTTTTTTGCCCCGTCGCATGTGCAAACTCTAGGCCCACTTAACATCGTGCTGACGGTAAATGGGACTGCAACCTCCACGACGAAAAGTGATTGGCCCTTGACTATGCCGTGGATCAGTGAGTAGATGATAAACAACTATGGAGGTTAGGCCTAGTTGGTTAGTCTCCTGGACAAAGAAGGACTAGCCTAGGCCTATTTCTTGATGAAATGAAGCAGATGGCAAAAAGCACCAAAAAGACAAATTAAATTAAAAATTACAAGACGACGATTTCCCAATGCAATACCTTGTGCAATAATTTTGTGTGTGCTGTTCATCCATTTGTGGTCTTTTGTACTAACCTCTGTATTTATTTTTGTATAATATATTTATATATATAGAAAACATGAAGAGAAGTCCACATGTGTTCATATGGATAATAAAGAAGGAAGAAAAGCAGGAAACGGAGTAGACTTTAGAACATTATTTTATTAAAACAGGTCGAAATATTCATGTTTTAATAAAATAGTTTTCTAAAGTCTACTCCGTTTCCTGTTTTGTATAAGCATCAGGGAAAAGAATTTTACTTGTGAATTTTTTCTATAGTGACAATAAAAGTATCTTGTATCTTGTAGGATGGGGTGCTGCTGAAATTGAGGAAATGAGCAAAGAAGACACACTCTTTGATCGCCTAGGCTAGTGTGCAGTCTCTAGCAGCCCATGAAATTGGGATAAAATTAGGTCGGCAAAAATTTGCCGACCATAAATTCTCCGAGGTCGGGAGCCTCGGCAATTTTTTACTACCTAGGCCTATATAGTATAAACTACGATTTTTCCAAACGCTCGACCTTACATCGTCATCTACAGATTGTGATTTTGTTAATTTCTCTCAAATCAATATTGCTGGTGAAAAAATGGTCGTACTTGTATTAATTTAATAGTGTAGTATAATATTATGTTTTACATAAGAAAATCGCTAAATAAATTTCGTTTTACTGTAGCATTCGTTTTATCGTTATCGTTTGCATGGGAACTTTCGTAAAAGCTACGATCGTATCATCACAGCATCACAGGCTGCTTCAAAACTGCCCATGCATGTCCATGTGCATGCCCAGAATGATCTATCAGGGATTTTCCACACATGTACTACAGTACTTGTCAGTAGTGAAGTCACGATGCGATCGTGATTACGTTTAAATGGACGGTAGAATTAGGCCTACAATATGTTGAATTTTGTTGTTTTTAGATAATAAATTGAAGTACTGTAGATATCGAGAATCTAAGCTACTGATGAACATTCTTTGGAATTAAAAGTGGAAATAACAGTCTCTTAGTTTAAGTTGTATACCAAAATGTAAACTACAAAAATTATAATCAATAATCTTTAAATTTCTTTACAAAAACATTCATACAGTACATTTATTATGAATAATTTAACATTAAAGCAAAGTATATTCGGTACATGCTTTTTTTTGGCACTGTGGTATAGTATGATTAACAATTTATAAACCATTTAAAATTAAAATAAATATTACAGTTATATTGTAAAATTTGGCTTTTATTAAACAATGGGTAACTTGCATAAAACATAAAATTATTAAGTATTCACCTGTTCGTTAATTATTTGTCTATCAGATTTGAAGCTATGGTGTCTAATATGCTGTGAAGAGCAACTTAAGTGTCAACATATTAACAATGATCTGAGGGTACCGAAAAGATGATAATATAGTGAGGAACAGGATCTTGAATCAATGTAAATCAATGGGAAGGCCATGAAGATCTCGGTGATGCCAGAGTAACGATCTTTAAATATTGTAAATGAGTTGAGGATTCCATAAATTTCAGATTTTGGAAGTGCATAAATTCTTACACTAAAAATAATGTGAGATTTTTTTAAACTTTGTTTCATGAACTTATTTTTTTAAAGAACATCAGAGGAGGGTGGAAGAAAAACAAAAATAAAATTTTGTCTTCTTATTTAGCAAATGGTTTTGTTAAGAACATCCAGATGGAAGAGAAAATAAAAATAAAATTTTATTGGTGAATGTAAACAATGTAGTAATGGGATGGTAAAATGCTTGAAATTTATATGAACAGTAATTAGGAAGAAATATACATATCTTATTTTTGGAGATTTAAAGGCAGTTGCGGGTGTAATAAAAATAAAGAAAACTTTTATTCTCTTCTAAAATTTCTATTTTTTTATGATGGTTGATGAGCTCAGGTACAGGTGTCACCTTTTCAACCAATTTTATTCAGTCAACGTTTTGACAAATTATAATAACAAAAGGTATAATGTATTTGAAGCATATTTAATGAGAGTGAACTATGCAGTAAGCAGAACATAAAAAAACAATCATTTATTACATATATTAATAAATACTGTATTAAATTGGCTAATTGGCCAAAAAATAAAATATCGGCGGGTGATGTATGTACAGTATATTTTAAAAAAATCTTGTCTAAAGCCAAATGTACTTTACACCTTATACTATTCATTCAATTATACTATGAACCTATCCATTCAAGGTTACTATACCTATTCACTCTCAAGGTTACTCTAGATCAGATTATCTTGTCACGTATCAGTATTTTATTGGCAAATACTAACACCACCAGACATTTATTTAATTTAATACAGTACTTATTAATAAAATTAATTATTTTCTTTGATGTTCTGCTTAAATACCAGGATACTGTAGTTCACTCTCATTATCTTTAAGTACATTATACCTTTTGTTACTATAATTTATCAAAACATTGACTGAATAAAATTGGTTAGAAAAGTGACACCTGTTCCAGTATTGAAACTGACATTTTTGGTCTAATTATGTTTAGCTCCATTTTTCTACATGGAAGGATCACAATGTTGCTGATGACAAAAATGCAACTGTTTCCAACTTGTTGCAAATAATCCAACTGTATAAATAACAAAGTCAACTCCCAGCAGTGGCGGATCCAGGGATTCTAAATAGAGGGGGCCGGGAATCGATAGATGGGCATCGCTGGGAATTTCAGCACTTTTGCCAAAAGTATATAGGCTGGTAGTATTATTATAAGGTAGGTAGGTATATAATGTAGGTATATAGAAAGTAAGTCAGTTCCACTTTAACAACAAATATCAATAAACCAATTCTGGATTTAACATTGCTAGGTTGAGAAATTACAGCTGCTGGGGTTAAGTAAGTATTTTTTAGGTAGATTTGTTATCTTATTATCACTACTACAGTACTACTACAGTACTAACTACGCCATTCCTACCTATATAGACTTTAATTAACTTTCTATCTATTCAATCAATCAATCAAAATAAACCCAACAACACTTGATTTGAACTCTTTTAAAATTTTAATTTAGTCTGTTTGTCAACAATTAAGCTAGGCCTAGAGGTTAGGAAAGTTTCGACCCAAAACTATAATAAGTGATAGACTAGACTAGAAAATGTCGTGTTTCATCAGTGTTTGCTTTTTAGCCTGCCCTATGCCTCAATTTTCTATTCCTACCCTGACCTCCATAGGCCTAGCCTAGCTTACTCATGCATGTATGTGATGTCCTCTCGAGACTCGGCACGCTCAGGCTGACGACGAAAAGTGGGTCAGATTAAAAGTTTCAAAAACAATCGTTATTGTTTTGCTGCTAATCAATGGATACTTGAGACATAGTTGTTGAAATTTATATTATAGAATAATGTGTATTAATCATAAAAAGGTTTTTTTTTTGCCTTTTTAAAATAGTTAATATTTTATAGAGGGCGCTAATTACCTGGTGAATTGCCGTCAATCCATCGATGTTTGCATAGTTTATGTCGGTCCCAGAATCCAGCATAGCCTTCACTTCTTTTTCATCTCCACTCGCACATGATGCAAGAAAAACACAGCCTTTATCAAACTTTACTCTTGTAGTTTTTTTAGGATTAATTGCGGGTTCTTTATCTAATTCAGATCCTTTCCATCGTTCTAACTGTTCATGTCTTCTTATGAGAGCAGACTTCTGTGAACCACCGTCCGCCATCTTTGCTACACCTTCATTACCCACCATTCATTGCGAAGCAATCGCCCCAAAAATTTCTCTGGCACGTGGGGGCGAAGTTGCCATGGATGTCCATGACGTCATGCTTTGTTATTGATAGATCCATCTAATGCTGCTACCCCATACGATTGCTATCTTGTCGCGTGAGTAAATATTATTTCATAAAAAAGATTAATGTCTTTTAATGATACATTGGTATGGATTTCTGAAGGTCTAGAGAGTGTGCTTTATTTTCGTTTCTTTTCAAAATACAGCATTCATCTTAATCACTAGGCCTATCAATTAGGCCTATCTTTATTGGCCTAAATAATAGAATACCACTATAGTTTTGATATTTTAACATCCAAGTGAATATTACTATTATTATCAACAGTGAGAGAAAGTGCATTTCTATACATAACAACGTATTTTATATGAATTCTTAATTTCCCTTTTTTCAGAAGAATATTTAAGCTTTAAAATAACAACACAATTTTTTTTAAACATATATAAACATTTACGGTAAATCGCATAGGCATCCTATACTTACAAAATTATGTTCGGATTTGAAAGTATTATTATTATTTTCCGGGCATAAATTGAATAATCTGCAGAGGGTGTAGGTATGAAAGATGGAATACTAGAGAACAATCAGATTGTCCCAACTTTGGAGTACGAAACCTTCAGCCGCTAAACGAAAACCCGTCCGTCTGAGGCAGGCGGCTGCTCCTCATTCCTTTGCCATATATAGGGAAGTTATTCTAAGCTATTGACGTCATAGTAGGAGAGCCCTGTGCTGGTTAACTCGCCGAAGGAAAAGACACAATTTCTTTACGTTCTCAGTCTCGTCCCTGAAAGCGCTAGGGATGCCAGGTGGGTTTCAAAAGTACATTTGCCTCTAATGAGAAATGTCGGCTAAATAAAGACTGAGACATTATCACTTAAATCTAATCATGTATCATCATTACAATTAGGCTTATTGAATTATTATTTATTTATTTAGAATAAAAGAAATAATATAATTAGGCCTATATGATTTAAAGGGCATGGCATCTACGCTCATAACTTTATACATTATGGTTATTCATTTTTCGACTGTTTGTTTGCAACAAAAAATTCTGCCAAGAACATTAAATTTCAAGAAACCAATTCTGTATAGCTAAATAAATGGAACAATTCTTATTTAGGATGTTGTTAACTTGTTTCAAACGTCCTCAATTATAGAAATGCTCGCCGGGTCATGCGCGTGTTGATTACGGTACGTTGTCCAGGTAAGCGTATATTATAATACTCTATGGAATTGTATTCAAACTGGATCGGGACCTAGATGATCAGGTGGCTTTAATTAAGAGTCTGCTTAAAGCAGCTTAAAGTATTCTTACAATTGAGAATAGTTGGAGTTTTATGAAGCGATTGAAGTCATCATGAACAATTGCATTCACAAAAAAAATCAAATATCATGAGTCTTTCGAATAACCACCACGTTCAATCTGACTCCAATTATACGATCACGCAATTCCGTGTATACGATAGGCCTAATGATACGATACTCTTATTACAAACGCAATATTGTTATAAATAATTATAATAATATTAATACTAATAATAATGACAATTCTCAATTATAATATTAATAATGCTGCATCATTGATGACACGGAGACACAATTTTTGTAGGATTAAATGCTATACCCTACTGAATTACCCTTCGAATACGAGAGGACGGTCAATAAATAGGAACAGGGACATAGGCCTAAAGTGGACGTCGGATGAAGAATGATAATGATAACACTTTAATAATAATAATGATAATAACAATAATATAATAATATAATGATAATGCGAATCGATGTTTGCCTACCTGACGTGTTTAGTACTGCTAAACGTTTTGTCGTTTCCAAATGCTTATGAAAAAAAAAGTGATTCGGGTGGGAATCGAACCCACGACTAATTAATGATTTACAACGCCCCAAATAGGATGGTGCGTTGGGGCTGTCTCTTATACACATCTAGATGATCATAATGCAAAATTCTGCATTACATATTGCAAAGAAATCCGCAAGTTCATCTATGTGTCAGAGAAGTCGCAGTAATGAGTCACGTGGGCACTTTATAATTACCTGGACGATCCCTGGTTCGAAGTGCGTGGGTGGCAGAGATACGTATTGATAGATAACAGTTTGATTTCATGTAAATGGACTTTTTTTATATATATAAAAGATTGCCGACTGAACGTGGGTTGGCCAATTTTTCAGCCGACGTGAGCATAATTAAATGGAGTCCAGGGGCGACTCTCTCCGATGGGGCCCTAGTCCCACTCCCTCCATAGGCTACTGGCCCCACTCCTAGCTGGATTAAGAAGAATAAGCAATCATTTTCACGATAAAAAACAAAAAATCTTATAAGCACACTATAATATCAAATAATAATTACGAATGTAAGGTAATATGTTTATCCCTGTCATTTTGTCTCAGATTATCCTAAGCCATTTGTATTATTTCTATATTGTCATCATCGATCTTCATCATCAATATCGTCGTCATCGTCGTTCTCATCGTCATCATTATTACCATCGTCATCTATAATAATTGACAATATTTACAGTAATACATCCGATTTTTTTTTTGTATATTGGCTGTGTGTTATTGCTCATTTTGTTTTATAGGCCTACCCTGATGATAAATAAATAAAAGCAAATCCTTCAAAAATGTCCAATAAATGAACTCTCGAGTCCTCTCACTTGTTATTTGAGTAATTTGAGCTTTACGAAATCAATCATGGTGTACTTTTCAACTGTTTATTTGACAAATTATAATATCAAAGAGCGAAAGGCTCCAATATTGGCCATTTAAAAGTTCACCTGAACTCAAATTTTGACATGGACTTCTGTTAGGGTGGTGGCAGACAATCATAATATAACTTGTGACTAGAAAGAGCTGCCGCGTTTTCGAAAAAAATGAGAGTTTTATAGAACTCGCTATTAGAAAATTCGCTTCTAACATTATACTTGGCTAAGCCAATCTAGGTAAGAGGTTATGTAGTTAGTAGATACCGGATGAAATAATAATCGAATTTGGTTGGTTATTAGGCCTAGGAAATTGCAGTGAGGAATTTTAGAAACAGAACAAACATGAATAAATGGATTGGAAAAAACTAAATAATGTTGAATTAATTAATTTATTCGGAAAATCTCTAGTTACATAAAAACAAGAACAAGAAAAATAAAAAAAAATATATACACAATGATAGCGAAATACCAAAGATAGGGCCTAACGGTAACTAAAAAAAAGCCACTGTGGTCCTTGATAATAACGTTATTAACCTACCCCAAAAAATAACGTTATCGGCCTACAGAAATTATATGATATTTAAAAAGATCTCAAAAGTCCCATTAAACTACAGAAGTAAATTCAAGATTATTATAGAATTGGGAAGCTAATATAAATGCTTTTGGAGTCACGCTGTTTAAGAAAAGGTAAGTTGAACATAGAAAAATTCATTTAAAATACGGGGTACGTAATAGTTCAGTACATAGCGTATTCACGCCCCAAAACCCCAACATATCAGCCCCTTGTCATGCTCCATTCTCTTCAAAACCACTTTAATGTTACGAGATGGTTCGTCGAAAATCGTGTTGCCGAAAGATATTGGCCGAATGGTATTTCACCATAGATCATCGCCGACTCAGCAGAAAGTTTCGCCGATAGCCAATTCGCCAACAGACTAGACACATTCACCGACAACTTGGATTTCAAATGTTGTGTCAGGATGTCGACAGTTTGCGGATAAACGTTTCGTCAACAGATTATATTGACACTCAGTAAAAAAAGGCAATTTCCCTAATAGGCAGTTGTAAATACTGTATGTACATTTTCTTTGATTGTATAGAGTTATTTCATCCCTATTTTTGATAACTTTATACCTGTATAAATATTTAAAAGAGAAAAGGTTACTATTTTTTATATCATTAAATGTTTTATAAATGCTACAACAAAGAAACAAAATTCTGTATTATGGGCAAGTCAATAGTATTATGTCTAATACTGGCTTTGTGGATAAACTCTAAGCTGCCAATCCCTGGGTGATGGGTTCAAATCCGGACATCAGACTAAAAAACGACACTTTATATATAGATCATTTTTCTGTAACTGGCAAATATTCTTTTTCCTGGACGCGAAAAAATACCCCAAAATTAATAAGTACATACTCAATCAAATATAATTTAAAAAAAAACCATCTTCCTTTGTTGCCAGAGCCCTGTGACATGTTTAAATGTGGTCTTGATGACATCACATCATGACCATATATAGGCACATCATGACGATATATAGGCACATCATGACCATATATAGGCACATCATGACTATATATGGTCATACAACAGTTTTTTGTTAAAGAAAATTTGATTGTGTGGACAGCGCTTCAGTTATGTTGTCAACTTTATTCAAACACTACATTTGACACTCTTTAAAGTTTACCTGGAAACAAGTGATCAATTATGAAATTGGTTGTACTTTTTCAGGGAAAGAGCCAATTACTTGTGCAATACACGAAGCATAACATTCAGTGCACTAATCTTTAGGCATGCGAGAGCCAATTTCAAGCGATGAATGAACATACTGTAGGCCTGTAGTTCAAAGCAGAAATCACAAAACAACAAACATAATTCATTTAAACATTGTTTTATTCAATAAATTGTTTCAAGTTTGGAAAAAAAATGCATTGAAAATAATGCAATTTACTCTTCGGAAACCCAAATTGTATTTCAACAAATAAGAGAATTCCCAAAACTGTAGATGATAAAAATATTAATTATTACAATTACTACCACCATTACCATAAATAAAATTCATATAATTATCATCACCATTATTATATTATTATTATATTATTATTAAAGTGAAACATTTTCAGATGGTGCATAATTAAAACATTATGATTATTGGTCAACATATGAAAGGACAAATATCAAATATGTGTTAATATACAAAGGTAAACTCTCGGCAGCCAGAGCATCTAATATCTTTACCCCACTGGGAGTAAAAACAAAAGAAACCACCAGATGCATTTACCCTTAATTCCTCACACCCCCCCCCCCCCCCCCCCCCCCCCCCCCCTTAATTCCTCACACCCCCCCCCCCCCCACCACCCTGCATTAGTTCTGACTTAACCCCTCAATTACGTAAAAGGTATGACCACTTAATAAAGTATTGCAAGACTGAAGATATAAAAGTAACAAAAAAAATACTCGATATTTAAATTAAGCATCAAATATGCCTCTTCCTTGACACATTTTTAGTTAAAAACCTAACACGCACTGCATTGCATGACAGTCGTATGACCATCAACTGACGAATCCATCATTGCTTACTTGACGACACAATGCCGTCTGACAGTTGATCGTCGATAATTGTCATACACTTGTCGGAGGAAAAACAGTTCACAGCAATTTAGTTTGCCTTTTGTTTATTCTGTCACCGACAATGATATTGTCTTTTGTGTCACTTGTATGTTTTTTAATGAATTATGGCAAAATAAATGCAATGAAATTATAGACTGAGCAAATTTCCATTAAAAATGGACCACTGCACCCGCCACTTCGCGTTCTTCCATGGAATCGCACTGGCTGTCAGCCGTTGATGCAGTGCGTGACCACATTTAAAAGTCGAGGTACGCTTCATTAGTCCACCAATGCCAGTGTAAGTTGTACATAAATAGTAATTATCTAAATATGTGAACTTTTATGTTCTTATTCCTTCATATTTCTTTTTACAGACACAAATACATATACTGTGTGGTTTATTCTCAATATATCTGCAATATCTTTACATACCCTTTTTTCTTTGCATACATGTCACATTAACTTTGCAAAGGTACACTTTTTCCAAAGGCACTGTCCTTGTCCTAGTATGAATATACAGTTAATAAATGATATACAGTTGACCTCCTCTTCTGAGGTATTATTTTTTTTACTTTTCCAGAGAAGTTATTTTAGGAAAAAAAATCCAACACACAATATGTGTAATATTGTATAATAATCACAATTGTCCTTATGTTTTAAACAACATAATAAATCTAATAAAAAATTTAATAATAAAAATCTAAATATTCAACAAAAATAAAATGTCAATATGTTATTACCTTTTACCTGAACATTAGAACAATACCTTTTCCTTTTAACAGGTGTTTAAATAATACTACTGCAATAGTGTATGCATAGACCCTTAAATTTCTGCACAGCAAAATTAAGGACTTTTGTAGCACTTTGAATCATTGCATATAATAAAGAATGAAATATAACAAGGACATTTAAAAATACCAAACTTTGTAAACATAAATTACGAAGACAATGTATGTACACTGTTTTCTAAAACTACTTATAAGGTAAATAACCTACCAAATATGTAAAATATTTATTGTTTTACAATAATTAATATAATTATATATAATTAAAATAATTCTGGTTACAATAATATCAACATCTCTTATAATTTGTTGGCTTTTTAATACTCCTGCTTTGGCTAAATAAAAAGTGAAATTTATTCTACGAATATATTATTTTAAATTACATCTAAATTGACAAACCAAAACATATCACAAGATTCAGTTGGAGTGGAGCTCCAGCTTCAATACTGTTAGTGAAACCCAGAGGTTGCACCAGTGGAGGCCCTTGTCGGAGAGAGTTGGCACCCAGCTGGAGAAAAACAAGATTTGTCAGATAAAAGGGAAAAAAAATGTATTTTTTCCATATTAGTAGCCTCTAAAATTGATTAAATATACCTTTGAAACCCCTAAATTTTCAGTTTTTGTTGGATTTGCCCCATACATCATCCCAACAGATTTTGAGCGACGCCCACATACGCTTTTGTTGGGAGTCGCCCCCTCTCCTCTGGTTGGGGACATTGGGCCCACTCCTGGTGAAGCCCATGTATTACTTCATCATAACTAAAAACATCTCATGGGAAATAAACCAACCCCATTTGCATGCATTTAGCACAAGCATACTTCACAAGCCTGATTTTAAAGGTTGTTTTTAAAGAGCTTAACTTTATGCACGACAGCAGGGTCTTGTACTGTACTCTTTGAAAAGTATTATGTAGAAAATGCTTTTTTTATTTTTTTATATTTCCACTGATTTCAATGTTTTGAAAATGTCCCTCACGCTGACTGGGGCCAATCTAGGGCCCTCATTAGGGGACCTGGGTGCTTTTTCCCTGGAAGCCCTGATGTAGCCATATCAGAACATAAAATGATAAAATTCCCTTCTTATTTCTATTTTAAAATTACATATAAATTTTATATTAAGTAAATTCTTGACCGTCTAAATAATGTGGAATTTCTCGGATTAGAAGGGAGGGGTTGTATACACCCACACACTGCACCCCCTAGATACAGGCCTAGGCAGGCTTCGTTCATAGAGAATCACTGACATCCTCAAGATAGGTAGCATGGCACTTACTGTTTGATGAGAATTGTTTTAGAATATACCTAGATATTATACAATTAAATTCTAAAAACCTGGGCACAATCACCAGAAAGTAATTATACAAAATATAAATTCAAAACAAAACAGCCAAATATACAAGTTACCATATGTACAGTGGATAATATTACTTAATCTATTTTAGTAGAGTTTTGAAATATTGTAGCATTAATTCATTGTTTACAGCGTGAGATGTAAGAATGTATTGAAGTATGTATGGGCTATGCTCCAAAATAAACTAGATCAGCGTTCCACAAACTGTGAGACTGATGAGCCAGTTCGGAATTTCAGACATGAATCACGACCCACCGACCCTTTACCCACACATGCTTAATTTAGAGAGCTAGCCCTAGTGCACCACTTTGGACTGGGATTTTCAATTTAGTAAAAAATAAGTAAATAATGCATAAACAAAAATAAATATTACAACAAAATTATAATAAACAATGTTGATTGTAGCCACTTTGTTAAATCATTGCAAATGAACAACAAAGTATGCAGATTGATGACTTCATTTATTTTACAACATAACATTATTAAGTGCCTATAATATTAAATGACAGAATTGAAATAGCTCATTTTGGTGATTTCTCTTAAGGTTTCGCAATCCACTAAAATACTTTGGTGATCCACTAGTGAGTCACAACTCACAGTTTGCGGAACGTTGAACTAACATAAATATGTACAGTTGATGTTATTATACAATTTACTTTGATACCATTTAAATCATTGTAACATTTGTTCATTGTTTGCACCACCTCCAGTTGTAGGGGTCCATGGATAGCTCCTTGGCACTGTGAGATATTTGCAATTTTAGGCAATTTTTAAGCAGTTCCGAGATGTATTATGCAAATTAAACAACCCTCTTTGTTTTTGTATGAATGAAGGTGCGTGTCGTTGGTGTTTCCACCGTGTAGAATAACTAATAGAATGTTTAAGTGTATGTGTAAGTGTGCGCATACTGTCAGGGGTGGATCCAGGGGAAAAAGGGGAGCACAGACTCTATCCCAAAACAGCTAATTTCTTATCTAAATTCCGTTCTAAACAAAAATCTCCCCCACTCCCAGTCGGTGCAGCGAATGTCACATGGCCCCTATCCAGATTGCTCTCTAGATCTGCCCCTGACCGTATTTATGTAATATGTGAACATAATTATGTAAAGCATGTACCCACATCTGCTTCATAAATCTATTCCTCCTCGACCTCAAATGTCGCTCAGGTATAGCAGACAATGTGCCCTTTTACCCCATCCTAGACCGGATTCCAGGCCATAATTCCAAATGTCACTCTGAAATAGCAGACGATGTGCACTCTAAAGGCCAACTCAGACAGCGTCGGCCGACGCAGCCCGACGCGATTAGTTGTCGCGTCGGGTCTGTGTGAGTTGAACGCAGACGCGATGGTGTGCGTCGGGGGTAGTCGCGTAGAAGAATATTAAACATGTTTAATATTTCTCACGACGGCTTAAGACTGTCCCCGACGATAAATCGGGTCGGGCTGCGTCGGCCGACGCTGTCTGAGTTGCCCTTAACCCTTTCCTATCCTCGATTCTAGGCCTGAACTTCTGATCCTTCGGTTTACTTTGGAACAGCGCCAGCAGCAAGCCTTATTCTCATTGTTCTTTTTCGGATTGGCAGCGGGTTTTGCTCATTGGTGGTGCTCTACTGAATAGAACAAGACTTAGGCAAGCCTGACCACTCCTTGGTAGACCCAACCATTTCTTCACCTATGCTCCACAATATAACTTTCTCATTGTTCTCAACGTTGACCCTTTTTCACTAAATGATTTTTTCCTTGGACGTAGCATCTTTTGCACTAATGAGAGCAGACTAGGAGTTCAAACCGTAACGTGTTGCAATCTCCAGTAGCCAATCAAAAGGTTTGAGCATTTAGGATAAATAGACGTTCTTCTTCCCTCTGTGGAAAATTAAACAATAATACAAATTTACAAGGTGTTAGTAAAGTTGAGTTTCATTTTTGGCCAACGCACAACTGGTTAGTTGACAAAAAGACCAAAAAATAAATTCTGTGAGAAAAAATCCTTGTGGTTATGACACACAAAGGAAATTAACCGACAAAATTAACCAAGTTAGCCGGGCACCCACTGCGTTTTACGACGGACGTAAGACCGTCGGCCGATGAATCTAACTTCACTGCCTGTAAGCTCCAGATGACGCGACGCCATCTGCTGATTGTCGGTGGCAGTCCGAACGGATCGTCATTAAAAACGATATGTTGCGTCATGCGCAGTAAGTGCCTGTCTTTGGTGTCAAAGTCAGTCTTGATTTGATTTCTTTAGTACTGTACTATGGTAAAACATTTTTATAAAAATTTACATAAAAAAAAACATTAATCTACAAAAATATATATAATTTTAATATACTAAATATAACATATGTGAGGTCTCACCACGAAATGAGACGCATCGTTGGTGAAATCATATTGAGATATTCACCAAAATAGGTCAAATTCAACATTTTTACAAAATTTTGATTTTAATGTTTTTGACTAACTTGATACTTATATATTTTATGACTGCGTACTTTTTAAGTGAATTTTCTTACTAAAACAGTGTTCTCTTCGCATATTTTGTAATTCTAGTCCTATTATTTGTACAGGTTAGTTTATCTTTGAGGCCAAATTTCTCAAAACCTGGGTCTCATACACCTAAAATTTAAAGGCTAATATCTCTGGATCTATTTATCCTAGGGAAGCCATTCAAAGATCAAATTAAAGCTTATAATGTGATCTACCAAAATGTAATATAAACTCATTTATTGATTTTCTAACGATGAGACTCATTTTGTAGTGAGACCTCACATATATTGATAAAAACTTGTTTTACCCAAAGGAAATAACATTTGTTCGTTTGCAATGAATATGAAATCAAATATTTTAGATAGTACAGAGGAAGCTATTGGAAAGTTGCTTTACATTTTACCACATCAAATTAGAAGATAAATCTCATTAGTCAGGCTGGAAAGAGAAGACACTTCAGCTGCTGCAGTTATTTTATGAAATTATGTTACCTATATATCATTAGTATGTTAGTTAGCAGGGAATGCCTTGAATACCTTCCATAGCACACACCTGGCAAGAAGAGGGCCTAGCATGCAATTGTCACAACTAGCTCTTAATATGATTATACACGATTATACAACCTATTAAATTGTAATGAAATGTTCAAAGTGAACACAATTATAAAATGTAATGTACTGTATTCTCTTTATGTCTATATTCTGTTCAAACAAACTGTAGTGCTTAAATGATATCACACTTTATACAATGATATTTATGAAAAGGATAAAAAATTAATATATACAGTAATAAGCTAATTTACACTTTGCCATGTTTAATCTGTGGTAGTACCGGTGAGAAGGGGCAGGGGAGAAGAGCCCTTTAATGGAGTCAGCTCAACACATTTCATGGGGAAGGGGGAAAAATCCATGTAATTATCCAGATTATTAGGTAAAGGTAGGAGAATAACCTATAACTTGCCATGTCAATGTGCTGAAGCACGGAGGTCTTATTGAGAAGGAGATCACTCGAAAAGCTCTGTGCACACAGCGTTATGCAAATGAGCCAAATACAAAGCTGCCGCAGCGCGTGATGAGCGTTTACGCGATGCCATTGAAGTCTAATGTGTTCCCTGCCACCAAATGCTCAGTGGGCTTAGTTTATCAAAAAACTTAACATGGCGAAGTCATTTTAGGGTTAACAAGGGTTAACTATTCAAAATTCAATCCAAAGTCAGATTAATTTTCGGTTTTAGTTCGCCTTCAGCTTTTCGACAAAATTATAATGAACACAGAAATAATTGAAATCTGTTTCTGAAATATACACATAATAACATACTAAAAGTCTGAAGAAATCCAATCAGGGTAACACTGTTAATTTTAAAGATATTTAATGGGTTAATATTAAACAGTTTATCACACAACTGATGTATTAATGAAGCGTATAAAAGCCTGCTGTTGCCAAGTTGTTGCTAACGAAAAAAAATGTTAATAATAAGGTAGAAGCATGCGCGTGACCCAAAGGCGGGGAACACATTGGTTTCTCGCTTCAAAAGGATCTGTTGCTGAGTGATCTCCTTCTTAATAATAATGCCATGGTATGAGCATGGTCCGTGTCTACCTAGTCGCCGTAAAGAGGTGCTTATAGTAGCTACATTCATATAATTCCACAACAACAGGGGCTAAAACGAACCATAGCATCGGGGTAACCCCTACTCTTCCAAAAGATGCAATGGGTTGTTTAAAGTTCACACAAGCCAGGTTTGTACACTGGACCTCCATTTTAAATCCTTACCCGAGAATACTTGGTTCTACCAACCAAACCGAGGTTTAGGAGCCATATTTATAGAGGGTGACCCTTTAAACTTATACAAGAAATTAAGCTGATGTTCAGGGACCCTCTTAAATATATGAAATATTATGATGCAGTATGAACTAATCTCAATACAAATCTTTGATCAGATCAAAGATTTTCAAGTGATAGAGGAATGATATTGTAATTACATTGCAGAACATGGATACTAATTCAAATAGAAATGGAATAGAGATGATATCTTTGACAATTTGTTACCACTGATATCAATAATGTGTTTATTATGAATACTAATGGCTGTTTAATGTCCCACAGATTCTAATTAGTTTCTGTTACGTATGGTGTCAATGATAACTCAATAAGGGAAGGGACAACTTGGTGCTCCTGACTGTTTCTGCATGTAGGAGCAAAATGCCCTCGACTTCATTCACCAGGCCTGGCTTTTTTTTAATTAAGTACAAGCTGACTGAAACAGCTGGCCTGGATGGTAACTTGATCGACAGACCAGGTGAGGAAGAAACAAGACTTTGCATGTAACCTGCACACACAGCAGGTCAGATACGTTGTCTATTCTGTGACTCTACCAGGTCATTCTTAATGAATAAATATGTCCACTATAAAATATAATTGTATAGGTTATGTTACAGTGTGGTTTCCAAGTAAAGTTAAAAATATACAGTAGTAACCAGTAGTACACAATCTATATACATATATGCTGCAAGTGGACAAAGACAATTGTATTATCGTATTGGCAGATAAACCAATAATTCACCAGCAGGAGAAGCAAGATTACAAAAACTGGGCTAGGGGGAAGGACAAAAGAAGGAATAAACACAAATAATTAAACAAGGAGACATTCAAAATGGTAAAAAAAAATGGAATGCAAAGGAATGAAATACTAATTATTAAAAAGAAGGAAAAAACTGTGGGAAGATTTACCAATACTTTAAGAAGGGTGTGGGAAGAAATATGAATAATTTAAGAAGGATTTGGGAAGATTTACAGTATCAATAATTTGAGAAGGGTGTGGTCAAGATGGGAAAACAAGGGGAAACAAAGCTATCAACACCACCCTTCAAACAAAGTTAAGATGGTGCATGCTTTGGATTGGATTGGATTGGATTTATTCGGTGTAAACACCAAGGATAGCCCACGAAAGTATAGAAGAAGACTTATTTCCAGTGGGGTCCTTCTGGTGGTGATTGGACAGTACACTGGGAGACAATCCCCTACTCTTTTCCGAAGAGTGTACTGTGTTCTTTAACGTGCACATGGGCCAAAAATGCACACGGGACCAACGGCTTAAAGTTTCATTCCGAAAGACGGTGCGTTATGTAACTTGTATTTCAGCCCTCTAGCTGAAACACAAGGAGAGGCAGAGATGGGAATTGAACCGGGGACCTAGAGATCTCCACAGTTCAGCGCACACACTGTGGCTACCACCAGATTAGCCGACTGAGCTAAGCTGACAGTATGGTCTGTCATTGATTGCTGCAAGGGGTACAGAAGGGGCAAAGAAAGGAAGCCAAAGTTGTTATTAAATAAAATTTTAAGTTTTAACATTCAGCACATTGCTGTAAGAGACAAACTGCATGCTTCAAATTACAAACACCAAATTAATGTGTATTTGCATAAAATGTTTATTCATTACTATTATTATTATTATTAATGGCTAAATAGACAAAATGCCGTACCCTGTACTCACAAGGCTTTCCGCTTGTTATTTTGATTTGAAAGGCTTCCAATCGAAAGTACTATATTTTAATATGGATTAATTAAAAGCAACAGCTGACTAATCAATGTCATAATCAAACAAATAAACTCATCCCTGTGTCACAAGTAATAACCTATTCTCTCATAGGGAGATATTTAATTAAATCATATTTCGAAATCGCTTTAATTAAAAAACAACAGTCATGCAATGGAGTTTATATGACTTAATTTGAATACAGTAGGTACAGATGAAACTATACTTAATCACAAACCTTTAAACAACCTTTAATTTTATGTTGGACAAAATATCCTAACAAATTGGGGTTTTGTGGGTAAACAAGTTGTTTACTTATGACATACACTAGAAATATATTCACAATATTCCAGCATAGGGTACAAGGAGAGCAACAACCAAGATCACAACCTATAGTATGTTATAAAATAATTTAACAATTTAGCACCTGCTATGAGTTTCTATAGAACACCTGGAGGATTTGTCAGGCATTTACGAAACAACAGCAATGTTTAGCCCCAAAGTGTCACAATCATTTAACCTGAGGAAGGGAGTGCATTTATTTATCCTGAGTATATGTTGCCCTCTACTGTCTTATCAACAAACCCATGGGTCATTTAAAGACTTGGCCTGACCTAAGTTGCAGATGCTCAGTTCAGTTTACAATAAAAATTATGTACACCTGTAAAATCAGGATATATTCAAACGTATGGAACTTGCAAAAATTGAGAAAGCTGAACAAACTTGTATTCACTTACACTTGCAAGCCTTTGCTATGAACCAACTTCAGTTGTCACAAATTGACTTCTTGATGTTTCAAACACACACATGTTAAAATTTTACGAAGGTCAGATGTTACATTAGTTTTTATCTGAAATAGCTATTTAACCTGAACCATGATATCTATTTTCCCTGGTTCAATCCTATCCCCTGAGCTTCTTGTGTTTCTTCAGCTGAAGGGCTGAAATGTGAGTTTCAATATTGCACCATCTTTCAGATGAGACAGTGTGTTACCCTGGCACCTACACAAGCAATCAACTTTGGGGTGTTACAAACTATGGAACATATACTTGATGTCAAGTCCCAACTGAGGAATCCTTTCGAGTACTCAACATAAACGTAAACGTAAATACCCAAAGCATAATCCTACAATAGTACACCCATTTCATTTATTTTAAATAGCTGTTAAAAATGGCAGATATAAACAATTTATATTCTAATCTAAATAATTATCATATAATATAAGATTTGGATTTTCATCCATTTTTAAGATATACTATAATCTACTAAATAAATTATGAACATTATGAAATACTATAATACAGAATGTGAGATGATGTTGTTCAATGCTTGAAAACTGTGCTCTCAAACTTAAGGTTGAAAGTTCAAATTCCTACACTGACCATTTACTTATGGCCATGTGTAAGGCACTTTATCTCCATTTTTCTACCCATTGGTAGGAAGCGAATTCTATGCCGGATATTCATGCTTCACTAAAAATTCAGATATTCTCTTGTGAGCAGAGGAGATCACACAATGTGTATAATTCATAAGTTTCAAGCAACCAGGGTTAATGTTACGTGTTTTCTGAAAATTTTTTTAGAGCCATTCAGTTTCCCTCCAAACAATTTTAAATCACTGTATGCCTTCTTTGCTTTCTATTTTATCTATGTCTATTTTGTTTTGTTACGGCAAAATAATCCATTTAAATCTGAGATATTCTGTCCAGAGACCTAACTATTTGACAGCTGTGCTCATCATAATCCCTGCAAAGCAGCTTTTATGACATATAGTATTTCATATGATTTTGTATGATTTCAATTATGAATGTCCACTGGCTTACCTTAATCCATTTGAGGAGTTTATTGATAGCAATGATTGCTGCAGGTTTGGTTGTCAAGGCTCCAAATGTGGCATACAGCTCAAAACCAGACGTCACCTAAAAAAACAGAAAATTTCAAGTACTGTAACTTTAAATTTTCTTTTTAAAGAAGCTAAGAACTAACTTCAATATAGATAAAAAGTAGAGTAGTCACTAAATAGAGTGTATACACCTGCCCTGTGCCTGAATACCAACAATATGCAAACCGTGTATGATGGGAAAAACTGCAGAATTCCCTCAAGGAAATAATGGAATCCCCCCCGTCGTATTCTTATTTTCTTAAGTGCTGTCTGAATATGAGTCATGATTCCAATATTTTCTTTTATTCTTATGGGGAAAAAATCAAATTTTTCAGTGACCTAGACCATGTCCTTTATTTATTTATTTATTTATTTTCAGGTATAAAAGAAAATAAAACGGCAGCCAAAGGCTGAAATGAATGTATTTAAAAAAAATAGAATATATTAAAAAATGCAAGAATATTAAAAATATTATATACAAAACATTGACAAAACATGGACAAAACATTAAAATACATATTAAGAAAAATCACATTAAAAAATTACTAGACTCAATAATAACACCAACATATTACATTAATGACATCAAAATACAATTGACATAGAAAATTTAAATATATAAAAATACATTTCCTTCCTTCCAAAAATTAGTGTCTTTTTTTTTATTACTAGGTACAATTCCACTACTTTTTAAGGATTTAGTGATGGTTTTTGCATGAGAAATTCCTGAATTCATAAACTTTAAAGGCTGATTTCTCATTGTTATTTAAACAGCTGTATGTTTAAACATTTGCAACTTCATAAGGAAATGTTGGATTTGAATAATTCTTTTACCATTTTATAGCTCTCATTTGACTCTTTAACCCTGTATTAATAACTCCAAATACTTTTTTTTTGCGACAAGTGACTGGTTTGGCTTGTCTTTGCCACAAATAGTGCACACCACAGATAATCCTTAACCATGAAATAATTTAGAGAGTACATTGTAATTGATGCTTTTATTTTGTCATGCAAAATATAATCAAGTGGGCAATATTTATAGAGTAGTGGGGTTACTCCGGTATACTGCCCCTTTTGTGGACAGACAACAGATAGCTGCTACCGGTTTACTAGGTAACTCACACACGAAGAGACTCTTAAGGGAGAAGCAAGTCATTGAACAGGCTAGTCTACACCTCAGGTGCTTGAGACTTTTCCATATGAATCCAATTACACCTGTGGTAAAGAATTAAGCAATGCTTGCAAATGATCTATATCTTATGGGTTGCATGCGAATATGACTTACCCATCCAAGTAGTGCCTCGTGTTGACTGACATGGAACATTATCTTCAATGGCCTAGCTTTGCTGTGCATCCTTTGGTGCAAGTACTGATATAAACCAAACAACCTAAAAAAGAAGTGCATAAAATATGTAATTAAATATTAATATGAATTTCATGCAGTATTCTGGCTTATTTTTTGTATCTTAATGTGCAACAAATTATTGCAAATAAATTTCCATGTTCTCAACAAATTTTAAAATTTATTCAAATACAGTAGAACCCCTGTTCAGGGGCCACCTATATGTCCCCTTAATAGGGGTGTCCCCTAATTAGAAGTCGGCCCTAGTGTCTCAAAGGAGGGGTTCTACTGTAATTTCAACTGGTTTCAAATGTATACATAATACTGTATTAATATTCTTTGTGATAAACCAATCAAAATACAATAACTTGCGACATTTAGATTTGATCACGTCAGTGCCTGATGAAGAACTGATGCGGTTAGATCAAAACATCACAAGTGAAAAATAATTGGTTTATCACAAAGAATATCAATATTATACATAAATTTTATAATTTAATATAGTATAATATATTAATACTAAGTTTAAGAATTGTCTTGTATATTAATTTTATTTAGTGTGTGCATGATATTATGAATGCATAATGTAATATAAGTAATTTCAAAATAAGACAACATTAGCTTTAGAGCTGTTTTCCACTTGATTTAAAAGAAGCACCAATATAACCTATTGAGATCCTCACCTCTCCTGCTCTGCGGGGCTCTTGTACGGGGCATCGAGTTGTGGACTAGTAAACTGCGACGTGCTTCTTGACTTGTAGATGAAGTGACAGAGGTCTGGTATACCAACTTGCTGACATCTGTAGCTACCTTTCCTTACAGATGATGTTATTGCATCCAGACAATTATGCTTTTTCATTTTCTGAAAAGACATTTACATTAAAATTATCTCATGTTCAACAACTTAAGTATAAGTCATAAAGAATAATGAAAAAAACAATTGAGTTACCAACTGCACACAGAAGCAGTCATCATCAGAACTGTTAATTTGTTCTTTCTAATAAATGAATAATAATGATAATAATTATGATTTTAATCAGGATTAATATCACTCCATTCAAATTCCTTATAATATACATGACTTACCACCACCTGAAATCACAGCATTATTACCTAACTAATGATGGTTTATAATATTCTTGTACAGTTTCTAACTGTTTTCAAATTCCCTTTTTATATTGCCTTAAATTATATTATCATTTTTGGACTCTTCTTTTGAGTATTTTATTATTTTTATTACTTGATGGAAATCAAATTTAAATATTGTATTTTACATGTTATACTATTCTTCTGACCTTGCCAATAGAGGGCTTTATTTCTGGCACAAAATTTGTTGTATAAAGACTAAACTGTTTTGATCATAAACCTTTATATTTGTCATATTTACTAAATTGACTCATGTATAAGCTATTTACTTAGGGATGATCTTATGAAGTATGAGAATAGTGCAGCAAGAAGTATGTTACGATCAACTTCTCTCTTCTGTTTACTGTGCATAACCTGTGCATGCACACTGCTGTTTGAAGTTGTTACTTCCATTTGTGCTTTATACCTAAAACAGGGGTCACCAGTTGGAAGAAGCCAATTCTGGGAGATTTGTTTATTTGTTTTCTTAACACTTCTAATAATGTTTTGCTATGCATGATTATACCCCTGGCACCAGATGTGGATTTAGTGGGGAGGGGGAGAGGCTGGGCCGTTAAAAAAATTAAAAAAAAATGATCGCCCAAAGCAACTCAAAGGTTAGTTTTGTGCATCTAGAACACGAAAATTTCACAGGGGAATTCCCCTGGACCCCCTAGGGTAGTATTAAATCAATCTGCCCTACTTTCGGCCCCTCCCCCTTTTACACATCTCTGGATCCACCCCTGAGCACTGACTTTCAGGAGACCACTGATAATACAGTAGTGCAAACATCGTAAGTTTAGGTTATTTTCCGGAACACTGTTCTTGATTCCGGGAGTGTAGGAGGCCTTCTCAATTTTGGGACCCCTGGCTCAAATTCAATTGCTCATTATATATTAAAGGAAACAAATTATATGAATAAGTTATATACTATTTTAAAGCTAATTTAATGTAGAATATAATTATATTGGAAACATGTTTTGATAGCTTCCAACTTTTTCTGGGTTTTGTGGGAATAGGTCAAAGATCTTGTGTTTGGAATCCTACAACTATATTGATGCATCACATGCTTCCATGTGTCTTGCTCAACATCCTGTTACTTACTTCAACAATTTTATTCTTGCAATCTGACAAGTCAAAAAAGACATCTTTATCAACAGTTAAGAGTAGTAAACAAGCTGGCGTATCTTCTAAGTAGGAAACATATGCATGTAAAAATCCACTACTGTCAAACCTAGGCAGGCAAATAGGTGTCCATGATTCACCATTACGGAAAGACGAGGAAGCATTCACTAAATTAACTACCAAATGTAAATCTGGAAAAGAAGAAATTAATGTTTAATAACTCAATGCAAACCCAATAATATTGTATGTGTTGCCGGCTGAAGTATTCATAAATATATACCGTATTTATTCAGAAGAGAAGAGTTTTTGTGGGGGGGCATTTATTCGAGAGAGGTGTATTTTTTTTGTGTGTGTAAAATGGATACCTATATACTCAAATAAACGGCCCTTAATTTCACTGTAAATGTGGAACCAAAACACATACATATCATCAAAATGTGTTATTACATGATCATAAAGACTAATTCATCTCAATCCTGTTAGAAAAAATATAATTCTATTGGAGTTGAATATTAATAGAATGTGTCAAGAATGATATTGCTTTCATTAGATTGTTTACAATCATTTGTGGGGGAGGCGCTTATATGTCTCAAAATGTGTATTCAAGGGAGGCGTTCATTCCAAATGAGGATCTAGAAGGGGCAATTATTCAAGGGGGTATTTATTAAAATTGAGGCATTTATTTGAATAAATACAGCATATTAATACATTTTTTTATTTTAGCGCCACAATCCGAAGAATATACAAGGCGCTGGTGCCATTATTTCCCTGGTCACTGGATACTGAGTGGTCAAACCGGCACATTTTGTGCAGCTTTCTCTGCTTCCTGGGGAATATCCCTAATCATGCTGCTTTACAGACACAACCTATATGTTCAATGCTATACTATCCTACCAGGTACTTATTTATACCCTGGGGTGGAAGAGAGGCGAACTGAGGTAAAGTGCCTTGCGCAAGGACACAAGCAATGCTATAAGCGTCAGTCTCAAACTGCTGATGTCAGTGATAAGAATTCTAATACCTTACACGCTGCACTACACAAAGCTGTCAACTGATATAAACATTCATGACTAAACATTGGATATAATATTTATATAAGATGCTGCTGCTGCTGCTGAAAGATGTTATTACCTGTAGTGCACCCTCAATTTGTGAATTGATCCAGTCAAGTACAAACTGAGTTTTTGTGGGTACAAATAACTTAAATAAAGATTTGACATATTTATATTCATTTAATAACAAAAGACAAAACAGGGACGAACTTACCACCTGGATGTAAAACATATTTTTTCATTCTTACAAGTGCTACAAGTTGATCATCCGCTAATAATATTGCAAATACTAAATCCTGCAATTAAAAAAACAGAAAAAGACAAAATTTTCCAGTCAGTTTGAAATTCTATGTGTCAACTTCTCTAAGTAATGGGAAATGGATGATACATAAAATCCTGTCATTTCTTCAATTACAATATTTTCTCCCAAGCCATTCATTGGTTTGGAAGAAACCATTCTGCTTTTTTTCTCCCCCAAAATCCTTAAAGGTGTGGGGAAATGTGTTTCTCCATACCAAAATTCATTGGAGTGATGTTTTGGATTCAACACTAGTCACTAAGCTCAAGCTTGGCAGTCTAGTGGTTATAGCGCCAGGCTAGCCATCTGGAGGTTGTGGGTTCGATTCCCACCCGAATCGGTTGCAATTTTTTTTTTGCAAGTATTTGGGGGCGTAATGAGTACTTGGTACATTAACAAGTCATGTAGGGCAAAACATCACTCCTATGACATTTTCCTGACGCAAACTTACATCAAAAACATTTTGCTTTTGTTTTTCACAATCTTAACGCAACATTCTGTTGCATTTTTTTCCCCTTTTGAATGCAATCATGTTCTTACTTGGTGGTGTCTGTCTCTTATACACATCTAGATGTGTATAAGAGACAGTGTAAAAATCCACTACTGTCAAACCTAGGCAGGCAAATAGGTGTCCATGATTCACCATTACGGAAAGACGAGGAAGCATTCACTAAATTAACTACCAAATGTAAATCTGGAAAAGAAGAAATTAATGTTTAATAACTCAATGCAAACCCAATAATATTGTATGTATTGCCGGCTGAAGTATTCATAAATATATACCGTATTTATTCAGAAGAGAAGAGTTTTTGTGGGGGGGCATTTATTCGAGAGAGGTGTATTTTTTTTGTGTGTGTAAAATGGATACCTATATACTCAAATAAACGGCCCTTAATTTCACTGTAAATGTGGAACCAAAACACATACATATCATCAAAATGTGTTATTACATGATCATAAAGACTAATTCATCTCAATCCTGTTAGAAAAAATATAATTCTATTGGAGTTGAATACTAATAGAATGTGTCAAGAATGATATTGCTTTCATTAGATTGTTTACAATCATTTGTGGGGGAGGTTTCACAATCTTAACGCAACATTCTGTTGCCTTTTTTTTTCCTTTTGAATGCAATCATGTTCTTACTTGGTGGTGTAAACTGTTTCTTATTGTTTGAGAGCTTATTAATAATAATAATAATTGAGATTGGAATGCTCCTAAAATAACAGGAGATAGAGATGAAAAGTAACTATCTATGGCAATTATGCTCCATTCAACTCTAAACACCTACTTTAAGCTTGGCTGATTGTAGACTGGAACTAACTTGATCACGTACTTGTGATTCCAGTGGAAGGCATCGCACCCCACTCAACAAAAAACAAGGATCAGTTTCCATTAAATGGCAAAGATTATCAAGAAATTTCTCAGTTCCTGAAAATAAGAAAATAGAAAACAATTAAGATTATCGCATATCAATTGGTATTTGAAAGTATCTATGTGTGAAGAGTGAAGACTTTGAATATTAGTAATGGAATGATTTGGATTGGACTTCTTTTGAGTTGAATAACCCACAAAAATCTTGTTTCCAGTGGAGGTTGTTTTGGAGGTGAATTGGGCAGTACACCAGGATACAATCCCCCTTACTCTTTTCTGAGGAGTGTACTGCATTCTGTAACATGCACATGAACATACTGCACACAGAACCAACAGCTTAAATACTTTATCTGAAAGACAGTGTGCTGTTAAAAGGTGCAAAGGAGAGCAGTGATGAAAATTGGGGTCTAAAGCCAGTTACTCACTGAGTGCGACGGCGAAGTGATGAAGAACGCACACGAAGACGCGGACCCAACGGATCGTCTTTTTAATGAGGATCTGTTCAGATTGCCACTAACAATCAGCAGATGGCTTTGCGTCGTCTATCGCTCGCCGAAAGCAAATGTGCATTCGTCGTGCAGTGAGTGTCCGGCTTAAGAGATGATCTCGGTTCAGCACACACACAGTGGCTACCACCGGTTAAACCGACTGAGCTAAGCTACTCTCTAATATTTATTATCTCTGTTGCTATATACCTGTTAATAATCGGCGAAGGTCATAATTGTGTCTCTGATGGAACACCTTCTGTAGAGTGGTTAATGTGAGTACGCTGAGAATTTGGTTGTACACATATGTTAATTGAGTATACACCTGCAAAAAAAAAAACAACAAATAGTTACTGCAAAGCGGAATAAATTCAACCTAAAATTTGTTTGTTTGTACATGAGAACTAGAAATGCTCCTTTTATGCTGCGCAATAAAAGCATAGCCAACCCACAGTGTAATTTTTCTCTGAGAATTGATAAGTAGTAGTTTAAAACCAATCATACACTCTTGCACCAGCAAACATCCAAATGATAAGATGAAAATGACTTTAAAAATTGAATAGAAGTACAAAAAAATATAATTTCTGAAGATTTTTATTTCTCTTGTCGATTCCTAATATGTGGCAAAGACAAGCCGAACCAGTCACTTGTCGCAAAAATCAATTTTAAGTTATCAATACATGGTTAAAGAGTAAAATAAGAGCTATAAAACTGTCAAAAAAGTCATTCAAATCCGACAGTTCCTTATGAAGTTACGAACATTTAAACATACAGCTATTTAAAGAACACTATATGAGAAATCAGCTTCACAGTTTATGAATTTGGGCATTTCTCATGCAGAAACTATCATCAAATCCTTAAAAAGTGTTGTTTTAACATGGAAAATAACAGCATATCATGATGATATATAAAGGTCAGTTTAGCGCAATAAAATAGAATTTTTAAAATTTGACATTCCTTCATGTTTCGCCATTTTCTTTGGAACACAATTTGCGATGAGTGAGTGGTTTGGCTTTTCTTGGCCACATATATATAACTATGAGAACTCAAAAAAAGATAACCAGTATCCTGATTTCCCATGCATTTCTTATATACCTTGAGGATCTTTTTGCCTACCAGCATTTAAGATTATGGTCAGTCCAGCCAATAGCTGGCTCTTCAAAGATGCCATATAAGAACATCTAGAAATTTAAAAATTTTAAAAATCCAAAGATTTATTGTCAAAATTTATAAAAATCGGAAGGACCCATGCTCCAAAAATAACCAATCGGTGGTACACATCTTAGCTCATATGGGTAATCAATAATGCATCAAGGGGGCCAACTGTACTCTTGAACCAGGGCGCCTCACAACCTTGTTACGCCACTGGTTATTGAAAATGTATTCATCTGCCTTTTTTTTTTTCCTCATGGGCGAAATTAAATAGCTTTGCGGGCCAAATTTGCCTAGTGGGCCACCTATTAAGAACCACCAGGGTACTATCTGTCTATTATACACATCTAGATGTGTATAAGAGACAGATTCATAATTATTCGAATAAATTCCCCCTGTAATTTGATTCGCATTGCTAGTCACACTGGTTTTAGCTGGCTCCACTATTTTTCTGGTTATGCCAAACAACAACAGTAAGTTCTATGTAGGTAGACCTAGGCCTTGATGTTTGGTTTCATTAAATTTGACAATTTTAGGCCTAGTAGGTAGAGGTACTGGTTTCAAATAATACAAATTATTTCTACCGTAATAAGATCTGGGAATAAGACGCAAGGCTTTGTGAAAAAAAAAAAATAGTAGATATAAGGTCTGTGATGTTACGGAGGCCAGGCTAGGCCTTGGGAGTGGCCTTCTGAGTACTGACGTCAGTGTTAGATTTGATCTTCTCAAGCTCAGGATTTAAACAAACGGGGTGAGTTAAAACAGTTAAAATACAGTAAATGGCAAAAAAAAAAAAAAAAACAGGTCATAAAAAGAAATCCAAATCTTCAGAACAAGTGAATCTGATCTGTAATATTATTGTTATTCTTTATAGTCAGAAAAAAAACCAAAGAAATCAGAGTATACAGGACATTAAAAGTGGAATAAAAAAAGAAACTAAAGGAAGAATGTCATTTAATAGAGGAACACGCGAGCATTTCGAAGATTACAGTGATGATTTAGAAGAAAATGATCATGAAATAATGCAACAAAAAGATCATGACGATATCATTAAAAAGTTAGAAATTGTTTTGAAAGAAAAGAATGAGACAATTACGCTTCTGAGAAACGACATTAAGAAAACAGACGACTTACCAGGTGAGAAAATCAAGGATAATGCAATACTTTGCAATATTAAGGCTTGAAATCCCAGTTACGGTATTTGGCCAAAGTGGGAAAAATTTGTACAAAGAATGTTTTAAGAGAAACTACCTGTAATTTTTCTGAATTTTTCTTTTGGTTAATTTAGTTTTTGTAAGTAAATGTACTTTAAAAAAATTTACAACTGGGGTTAAAAGAAAAATACAGAAATATAGTACTGAATCCAGAATGAATAATATATTTTCGTCTGAACAATCTGTAATGGTTCCAAGATTCACACAATAGAAGATTGGAGCCAAACACCAGTAGAAATTAAGTTCCTTTCATTCCTTTAACGTGTCTGACAATCACAATTTTGACATAGCATTAATATCGCATGTGACTAGACTGCCAGAGATCTATAAGATACACCCTCTTCTGTGGATTACTTTCAGTTAGCTGGATCTCGAACAAGATTCTTGTATATAGAGTGACAGCAAAATAATGCATTGAATATTAATTAAAACGTAATAGAAAGGAAAGAAAAAATACAGCCTCCACCAGGACCTTTCATGTACATGGCGAACGTCATAACCACTTGATCATGAAGGTGTTATGGTGAGCCAAGCGCCAGTATAAATTAAATTCCTTTCATTCCTTTAACATGTCTGACGTGACAATTTTGACACAGTACTATCGCTTGTGATTTTTTTTCTTTGACAACAATGACAAATTGCCATTTATTGAACATTAGTTATGACATTTGATAGTTTGTCATTACCTATATTTTTTAGTAATCCTTATCGAAAAAATTAAATGGTATTGAGCAATATTATATTTTCATAAACTGTATTATGTTTCATGGTATGAAACAGCAAGATAAAAATGTAAAAAACTATGTATTTGCAATATCTGGTATTTAAATGTTTATCCGTCTATAATTGTAGGTATACAACACATAAACAGACATCATGAGAAAGTAGAAATTCCAAATGAACTAACAGAGGAGGAGGAGAAGAAGGATGACAAGTTCATACAAGCTGTGAAAGGAGAGTTTGACAGGATGGACGAAGAATTGCTTGAGTTGAAAAATAAATGTAAAGAAATGAAAGACAAAATAAAAGACATGGAAGATGAGAAAAAGATAACTGAAGAAGATAAGGGGAAAATGGCTGCGAAAATAAATGATCTACATAAAGATTTTAAAAAAAATACAGAAAAGTTACAAGTTTTAGAACAAGAAAAAGACGACCAAGATGACATTATTAGGGAGTTAAATGAGAAGATAGATGCTAGTAACCGGGAAAGGGTGCATTTTGCTAGAATGATACATCAAGAAAGGCAGCAAAATGAGCAAATTAAAAAAATAATGAAGACTAAAGATGAAAGAAATAGTCGATTGTCAGAAGAAGTGAAGAATAAAACTGCTGAATTAGATAGAAATAAAAGGCAGCGAAATGAGCAATTGAGGGAAATTAAGGAAATGATGGAGACTAAAAATGTCACAATTAGTCAATTGTGGGAAGATGTGAAGAACAAAGAAGATGAACTTAAGACCGCTTACACTCTATTTTATATCACAATCCTTGCAATTATGTTATATTTTATATATATAGTTAGTTCTCGTTTTGATTTGAGAGTTTATATATAGTATTATATTTTGCTACATTCAGCTTTTCAGCATAACATACATGTACATACATACACACGCACGTGATACATACATATACAAGTATAAGGTACCAGATTGTATGGGCAGAATGTAAAGTAAA